TTGTTTCTGATATTGATTGCATTCCACACAGTGCAACAGCTTTCTTCACACTTCCCTCCTGTGGTTACCCTTTTTCTGTGTCCTTCTGTTCTGTGCATTCCTGCCTTCCAAGCTTTCTCCCTGTGCATATGCTGCCCTTCTGATCCCTCATGGTTGATTGTTCTAAGGATGCACTTCCCTGGTATAATTGTTCAGCTCTTAGATCTGTCTATTGTCTGGCTGAAAGTTACAACACAGAAGTGAGTTCAATTTCAGGCCCAAAGAGTGACTAGGGTCCATAGTTTTGGGGATTTCACCAGTCTTTATCAGATCAGTAAGCCTGGTCTTTTTTATGATTTTGAGTTTTGTTTCACATTTTACTCCCATTCTGTCTAGAATCTACAATTTTCATCCCTTTCAGAGTGGGTGACATTTGTAGACAGGCACCATCTAATTCTTCTCGTCTCAGGGTCATCATGTAGGCTGAGGTTCCCATGGTCCACTAGTCCCTTGGTCTAATTGTTTCCATTTGTATTTGATTTTCTTCACTCTTCTTTGCTCCAGGCAAAAACCCAAACCAAATCCAAACTCAAACTCACTGCTGTCGAGTCGATTGCAACTCAGCAACCCCTCCTTCAGTTTCCAATTCCGAGGCGGTATCTCTATGGAAGTAGACTGCCTAATTTTCTTTCTAAGGAGTGGCTGGTGGATTTGAACCTCCAGCCTTTTGGTTAGCTGTCAAAATGCCTTAGGCACTACACCACCAGAACTCCCTTGCTCCTGACAAGGAGAGACCAACAGTTGCATCTCAGATGGCTGCTCAGAAGTTTTAAGACCCTGGTTGCTGCTCACCAAAGCTGGATGTAGAACAATATTTTTGCATACTATATTATGCCAATTGAGCTTGCTGTTCCCCTTGACTGAGACCCAAGTCCACAGACCTAGCAAGTCACTCCCTCAAGGTACTTGGTTGTGGCTAAGAAGTTATCATAGCTTTGCCCCCTATTAGCTCTATTATATATATGAACAATCTTATAGCACATACAAATACATATGTAAAAACATCATCTGCCAAACCTATATATGGTCATGGTGATTGCCTACCCATGCCCGATCATCTTGCTTGTCTACCTACATATCCACTCATAGATTGTCTTCCTTTTCCTTAGTGACATTGTGCTGGTCACATACTTTTGTTCTATTGCCTTTCCCTTCACTCAAATGAATATATGTCTCTTACCTAGCTAGCAATTTTCCTTCCTCCCTCCACTCTGGTAACCAACAAAATTTCCTTCCACATGTAGACCTTTCCTTGACTTTTTATCATAACAGGCTCATACAACATTTGCTCTTCTGTGGTTAACCTATTTCACTCAGCATAATGTACTCCAAGTTCAACTATGTTATGATATTTTTGTGGATTCTTCATTATTTTTAATGTTGGGTAGTATTCCACTGTGTATATGTACCACAGTTTGGCTATCCATTCATCCTTGTTGTTGTTGTTGTTGTTAAGTGCCATCGAGTCGTTTCCGACTCATAGCGACCCCATGCACAGCAGAACGAAACACTGCCCGATCCCGC